TGGAGGCACTGGACGGTACTGATGAGGGGTCCCAAAATAGGACGAAAAGGCCGTTCGGTACTTCCAGGTTTACGACGATCATCCAACATCAATCTGTTCAAGATCTCAATCAATAAATTAATATATTCACATAAAATAAACAATCTATTGTTTCGGAATTTTAAAAAAAAGTTCATATTAGACAACATGGATGAAATATGTGGATATTGTCTTTTATTTTAAACATCTCAATTATCCAAATAAAATAAGACGCCAATATACAATAAAATCAAATGAATAACATATTACATGAATAACATTTGGGCGTTACATTGATTCCCAAAAAAAATATACATTTCGTGATACAAGTTGTAAAATGTATTAGAGAAGGCGAGCAAATAAGCGATAAAGACCTATTTATATAAATTAATCGGAGACAATATTCATATGAGAAATATTTATTAATCTTTAGTTCTGTATTTACTTTCCACTCATAAATATTTCTATATAAAAAAAATAATCTAGTCTCTTATTTATATATTCGTTTAATTTAACCATACAATCTAGAAATGTATATTTTTTTAATGTTAAGCCAACTCAATTAGAAACCAATTTAGTTTCTATGCCTACTAATTACTTACTTACTTACTTACGCCTGTTACTCCTCGTGAAGGAGCATAGGCCGCTCACCAGCATTCTCCATCCAACCCTGTCCTGGGCAATCCTTTCTAGCTGCGTCCAGTTGTAATTCATCGTTTTCATGCCTACTAATACATTTAGATAAAACCGACACACATACACACTTACATAGATACATATTGAGGAACAAGTACATATAATTGCCCCGTCATCAAATTTTGTAACTTGTCTTTCGACTAATTATTAATCAATCAATGAGAATCATTCATAGACAACAAATTGTTTTATTTAAATAACTAAATATGAATTATGTTTGCTATAATAAAAGCATCAATAAAATTTGAAGTAATGAGTTGGGTAAGATTAAAAGTCTTCGATTCTTCTTCCTAGTTAAACTAATTTATTTCTTTATTTATAAATCATAAATAACTTTTTTTGGTGTTTTTTTTTAGAGCAAAGAAAAGTAGCATTTAATTTAATATTCATCATTGATAATTGAATATATGAATAATTGAACAAAGAACACACATATATATATATATATGGATAGTTAGATTAGAATGACTTATATTCACATATAGATAAATTTATCGGTGTCGTTTAATTTTTGTTATTTTTTTTCTTTATAGTATCGATTTGTTTCATGATTACTTCTTTTTGATTATTTTAGTAGTATATAGTTTGTAAAGGTTTATACTTTACATTGATTGATTTTAAATACTCTAATAGGTTTGTCATTATTGGTGTATGTACATCCCTGAATGGTTAGACTCGAGATGATCATTTGATGGTTAACATTATGAATTATTGAAAACTAGAAAATACTATTAAATTGTCTCGTTCTATAATAAGACTCCTTAGTGAATTATCTTCAAGATTAGATGGTAGTTGGAGGTAGTAGATAGGAAACCCTGGACCAGGGTTTCGTGCTACTTGGCACTGGTCGGCAAGGTGTACCTGTAATCTTGAGGGAACTGGTGCTACAGAAGGTCGGTCGCGGCTAGGATAGCTCAGTGGTAACATCTCTGACTGTGAAGCTCGGTGACACGCGATCAAATCCGACAGAGAACACCAGTTCCCTCAAGATTACAGGTACACCTTTCTGATGAGTGCCAAGTAGCACGAAACCCGTGTCCAGGGTTTCCTGTCGACTACCACCAACCACCATCTAATCTCAATATATAGTGCGCACAGTGTCGAGTCACTTAGACTGGTGGCCACATTGCAACACGATCGATAGAACTTGATCTGCACTAAATAAGGACTTGACACACATGGCATTGATCACCACCCAGTGATCAATCAGTTGTGAAAGTATGTCCAAGATCACGCCACCCGTGACTGGGCTCAGATAGGACTTTCGATTTCCTGCAAAAACACAACCTCTAAACAATTAACATTTTCCAATATTAAGGAGAATGAGACACTTATTAACTACTCTTTTTGGTCTCGTCCTCATTGGTATTGTATTGATGTCAGTTTGAAATAAAGTTAGCTTTCATATAAAAATGGAAGAACTATATGACAACATTTGTAGAAATCTTGTACATAAAACTTAAAATCAGGTGTCATAAGTCGACATGGATTTGATTGTGTCAATATTGTTTCTCCTATGGCCACAATTTCATAAACGACACTCTCATTAAAAGTCAGAAAGTATCCAATAAAGAAAGTTATTTCCGAACCTAGTGAGTCTATTGATGACCGTAAAACAGTCTCCATGGCTACACAAATTGTTATACACAACTGCATTCTGTATATTTTTTAGTATATTGTTGACTACTTCACACTGACTATCAATTGATAATATAAAGTCATTTGAACATGCTAAGTACTGGGTTACATCTGTGCAGTGTCCAGCATTTTCAATTAAATAATCAAGATCATCTTTCGTCATCAACATTAACGGTAATTTACTGAGAGGTAAAAATGAAATAAAGATACAAATATAAAGATTGTTTGTTTCCACTGAAAAGACTATTCGACTTAATAAATATTCATTAATGTTAGACTAAATTATTTATATTTAAAATACCCTAATTAATAATTAATTAGTCGGTTTTAGAGTAGACAATTTATCGTTCGTTTAGATTCAGTTATAATAAGGTTTAACATTGATAAATAATGCTATTTCACAGATTTAAATCATGAGTCAGTTGAAGCTAGACCACCATTGAAAACCCGGAAGCACTGGACGGCCGTTTCGTCCTAGTATGGGACTCCTCAGCAGTGCGCATCCACGATCCCGCGCCACACGGGGCTCGAACCCAGAACCTACTAGCTTCACGCGCGAGCACTTAACCACTAGACCACTGAGCCGACATCTAACGGTGCTAATGTCTAACTTCAACCAATGGTGGTCTAGCTTCAACTGACTCATGATTTCAATCTGTGAAATTTCTAAAACTCTCCACAAAACCCATTCTGAAAATAATGCTATGCTATATGACTGATTCATGTTTCTTCTTTCCTTAATTTTTTCACCAAAACCAGGATACCTGAAAAGAATACTTATCGAATCAATCCCAATTAAGTATCCATTTACAGTTAAGTCATATGGCGTTGATTGTCAAGTATTCATGTAATAGTAAGATGATTATTTCGCAAATTAGGACTTCCTTTTATAGTTATCAGTGGCGAAACAAATTTCGATGTTGTCGATAAAATAATGCCAGTTCATTACAAGGAAAAACTCAATCTTAGGTGGTTGGAGGTGGTCACTAGAAAACCTTGTTTTGCTTACGTTTTATACTGGTTGGTATTCGTTATCAAATTTTATCCAGAACCTTTAAAAAAAACAATGGTACCTACGACATTCCAATTCCTGTCATCCAGCATCATAGTCCGAGGCGTTACCGCTGAGGTATTTGAGTACATATCGATCTCCTACACAACTAAGATATTTGTAGTTGGTTGATCACTAAATATTAGTGGGCAGTGTCATGTTCGCTTAGTCCTCAGTTATGATCGAATTTTATCGATGAAATTGTAATGTGACGACCACTGATTTAAGTGACCAAACAGGGCGCACGCTATGTTGAGATGTTAAATGGTTGGTATCAGTTTATGGGAATTCTTACTTGACCTTGATTTCATGTTTGTTGATAATCGTCAACAATGCGCACACCACAACATGGTCCATATGATATCAAGTCACTTAGACTAGAGATCACATTGTCATTTGGTCGATAAAATTATAATAGCACTGACAATTGAGCAAGAATCACATTAGCCACTACTACTTTGTCACCAATCACTTACGATAATCAGTATCTGACTGTCTAAGTAAATTTATATTTGAAATCATTTTTATTTTAATTAACTGATAAAAACAAGTTGGACACCTACTGTTCCCAAATGGTCTCATGTATTATATAAGAGTGAAATCTACCAACAGATTATTCAAATCGTTATAAACTATTCCTTGTTAACCATTTATTTTGTTAGAAAAATTCCGAATATTTTATTGCAGTGTGTTGTTATTATTAGTATTATCAGTCAAGTCAATAATAGCAATGATCGGACTTATGTGAATACAGTGGAAATACGTTGAGTTGAGTAAAAAATTAGAGGGACGGAAAAACTTGTGCATTGGTGATCATTGATCTGATAGTAATGTGATTGCAAATGAAAACATGTACCTCTTAGATTAGGTTCCATATGAGTAAAGTACGTTGAGGTGTTTCAAGCTACAATTAAACCCGATACTTTTATCATTGTTATGTAGAAAACAAACTAGGTTTTTTCATTGGAAGCTATAAATTTAAAAGAAGCTATTTGATATTACGACATGAAACGATAATAACCATCAGTCAGAACGACAGGTTTTTCCAATTAAAGTATAAAATATCAAAATTTTGCTTAGTCACAAACAAATCAGAAAATATGCCTTTCCCATTGGTACTTGAATATATGAAAATGAAGATGTTTAAATGAAACTGCATTCAGTGAATTAAATATTTGAATAAAGTTTATATTATTGATCGATGTTAGCTAGATCAGTAAACAATGAAAAGATAGTTGTATGTTCGTATGAATCCCTTTAGAAGGGAACATTTACAACCTCAATTCTGATTGAATCCAGAGTCTTCATGTTTCTCGATAAGCTCTTAACTATAGATCATCATCCATAGGTTGGCATTTCTAACTTTAAAGATTTTGTGATATTGCGCTACCAATGTTGGCTGCTATGGGTGATATTCGTCTTCAGTTGCATAAGCTCTGGTCAAGTATTTCATGATAAAACAACTGTAAAATGTTTCCTACTTTTTAATAATTATCTATACAAAGTCAGTTTCGAATGTGACACTTCAATGCCAACAATCTTCACAATACCTCTATAAAAACATCTATAACAGTTTTTGATATAAACAGGAACTTACCTCTAATTTATAAGCTACAGTACCATTTAATCCATAATCGAAATCTTTTGCCAAGGGTAAAATAGCAATTTCACGCTTTTTAACACCACCACCACCACTACTACTACTACTACTACCGCTATTGTGAATTAAGGGACTTTCTGTAGTCAAATATGGCACCAAATATGGTGGCACTGATGATTGTGGTGCTGATAATGATGATAACATAGATGATACATAATAGTGATCAATTGTTGATACATCTTCACTTATTTCAAGTTTTAATCCACTTGTATATTGATCAAAACGTGGTATATTATCGTTAATATCTTGAATATATACAGGAATATTGATTAAAATTGGCTTAAATGTACGATTTTGACTGATTAATGCAAATTCTAAAATAATTGTACAGTCAATTTGTGATGGATCATCAGTAAGATCTAAATAAATATAAAGAAAAAAAAAATAAACAAACGAATATTTAACCAGGATTCATTAATTTAAATAATAATTTGTAAACTGTTGAATTTACATTTTTATTTAACAGATTGAAACCATGAGTCGATTGAAGCTAGACCACCATTGGATGCCGGCTCAGTGGTTTAGTTGGTTAAGCGCTCATGCGCAAGACTGATAGGTCCCGGGTTCGAATCTCGCGGGGCGGGGGATCGTGGATGCGCACTACTGAGGAGTCCCATACTAAGACGAAATGGCCGTTCAGTGCTTCCAGGTTTTCCATGGTGGTCTAACTTCAATTTACTCATGATTTCAATCTGTGAAATTTCTAAAATCTCCACAAACCCCTTCTGATTTTTATTTAATTTAGGTAAACTATGATTTATGAGAAGTAACCTGTAATTTTCAGTCGTAATTCTAAAGTTTATTTTCTCATATTCGAAACGATAAACACTTAGTGCTGAATTTCAGTAAAACTTAATAATTACAAAAACAAATATCTTTTACAATTCATTTGTTATCGTTGAACAAATGTCAAGTCTTGGTACTGGATTGTTGAAGTAGATCAGTGGGAAATTCTGATCTATCTGAAATTCATGTTATATGACACTTTTAAGTAAAGTGTATCTACAATCCTACTGAAAGTATCAGCTCCCTGTTAGATTCGAATTCACTTCATTTAGTTTTACAGGCAGAATTTCTACGAATAAAGAAAATCTGGAACTCAGATCAGTTGTCAAATAACACCGAAACCAGCATTTCTAATTTATGGAAGAGCCGATCAGAAGCGAGTGAGCGATTTCAATGTAATGGCGCCTATTTCAATACCCAATGCTCACGTACGATCGGTTTGCAACGAATTTAGGGATATATATATCAAGAAGAAGTATCCAAATCTTTAGGGAATTGATGTATTCTGTAAGATTTCAATCTGAACCATACTATTTATAAGTAAACATCAAACTCGAATAGTTACTCATTTCAAAATATTGTACTCTAACTAATTGTCAAAAATGTGAAAGATCATTTAGAAGTTGAAAGATGTATTAAGTTCAGCAAAAGAAAATACATTCAAATTAAAAAGAATGAATAGTTTAAACTTTTTATTCACTTTATCCTTATTCAATATTAATTTTTATTTTAATTCATTTCGGCTCAAGTAACGTGAATCGATTTCGGTACATGTTATGAGAGTTCAGTTGCAATAGTGACGGGTCAGAACTAATCGATACTGTTAGTCAGACTAATTGAATTGGTTAATGAATAACTAATTTAATCAGTATTTGTACAACAGTTCGATCAGTATTATAGAACTAAACAAACATAATATTGGTTACTACTCAAAAATCTATTAACTTTTAACGATGTACATATTTATTGATCCACATTTCTGCAATGTTCTCTTGTTATAATAGGATTTTGCTTAAATTAATGTATAAGTGCTACAGTATTTGAATTCATAAACCATTTTATTTGTAATGACTATTTTTTTAAAATTGTATCTTGGCTAGCAGTGCAACCCAGAATACGTATCTTGTCCTTATTTAGGATTCTTGAACTGGATATACCTAATGTTGATGTACACAATGAAATTTGATCCCAGTATCATTTATTGATAAATTTCAAATAAAGGGATATGCTGATCCTAAATTCCACTGTTAGCCACTACTCAAATTTAATGAAAAAAGACGTGTAACTAAATCGAGGCGATCTTTTCAGAATGAACATTTCCCTATAGAGACTAAACAGTTGTAATGATTAACATCAATAACGCGAGAAGACGAATCCTAATGTCTTATTCCCCTAGAACTTTCGAACATGTATTGTAGAAAAACTTTCGATAAAGTATCGAATTCAGGAAACTTATCAACTTGAATATCCTAATACGGGAAAATATATTTATTTATTGGTAAATAAAAAAATTTGGGGATGAACTCAAAACAACCTAAGAGAATATTCCACCATTTCTTAGTCAATTAGGAAGTAGCTTTTGAAAATGAATAGTTTACAAAGAAGGAAAGAATAATAATATTACCAAATGTAAATAGATTCTATTTATTTATTGAATCGATTAAAGTTCTACTAATAAGCCATACCCTGGGGATTCAATACACACATACATTTATCGATTATCGGTAATTAAAAATTGATCAAAAATGAATTTTATTTATTTCTTAAATCAATCATAATTCTAGTAGGGAAACACCATGATGCTTTTTTTCCAGTCGTATGATTGATCATAGGTGCTTTTACTAGTAAGCAATAGTATACTATGACGCAACACATGTTCTTGATTATCAATAATTATCGATTTTTTCCCAAGTAGCATTACATTATCATAGAAAATACTACCCAACTTTGTAGGATTGACATACCTATATTATTACAATTTTTTGGGATGATTATTTTCACTTCAATTAAAGTTACCCTGAAATGCTTCAAATTTAGTTGTCTATCAAATATGATAATGATTGAGTAGACTCGAATTCTGTGTAAATTTGGTATATAATTTATTCATTTACAATGGAGTTAATGTTTTACCAGTTGAGTTATCAAAGCCAAATAGATAAATTTAATTTTACACTAACAATGGAATAATTTGTATTTCATTGTATGTAACTCCCTAAAACTTATCACTAGTCACTATCAGTCTAAATGATTCGATATTGTGTGAACCATATTTTCGTGTAATCTAATTGAAGTTAATCAACTTACTAATATCTATTATCTTACATTCGTAATATAAGTTCAGTATGTTGGTCAGATGTTCTTACGTTCTTTTTTAATAAATCTCCTTTACTGTAATCTCATGGAATCGATTCCAGTCCATACACTTTATTCATCTACTCAGTAATCTTATCAATTATTTGTAAGGAATATATTAAAACAAGTAACCTCAGTAATAACTTAATTGAATTTGCTTGAAAACTAAGGGAAAATGAACCGTTTTTTATTATTTTTCAATTATCATTTGAAATCTCAATGATTATAGATTTTAATGGTGAAGATTTGTAGCACAGATGGATGATTTTGAGAGTTTTGTTCTCTGAACTGGATGGTTTGGTCGTACAGCTTTTATTGTGCTTCTGAACGACATCATCAGCACAAACTTTAGATAGAAGTCTATATGAATATCAAAATATAGATTTTAATAATTGAATCCATGAGTTGATTTAAGCTAGACCATCACTGAAAACTTGGAAGCACTAGACGGTCATTTCGTCCATAACCCCCCACCCATTCTGATAATTAAATATTTTCAGAAGGGGTTTTGTAAAGATTTTAGAAAGTTCACTGGTTGAAATCATGAGTCACTTGAAGCTAGAACACCATGGAAAATCCACGATCCCACACCTCGCGAGATTCGAACCCCTGACCTATCAGTCTCACGCCAGGCACCTAACCAACTAGACAACTGAGCCGGGACCCTACGGTGTTAATGTTTAAATTTAACCAATCCATGAAGTTGCGCCACCGTATGCTATTGTCTCCAGTGAGTTGGTATCTCACAACAGACCTGGGGTGTTGGATCGTAGATGAGCACTGCTGAGGAGTCCCATACGAAATGGCCGTCTAGTGCTTCCAGGTTTTTTCCATGGTGATCTAGCTTCAATTGACTCATGATTTCAACCAGTGAAATTAAATATTTAACTAACTATTTTATGAATACTACGAAAAAAATGTGAAAAGCTGACTGATTTCCTTTTTTGGCAGATATTATTATCAACAATGTCAATTTCTTAAATGTGTATCCTTACGTCAGTCATCTTTTTTTTGTTAAAAAAAAAGAAGAAAATTCCAAGATAAGATGATAACATGAATAATTAAACAGTAAACTAATTAATTAGTTGATGCATATGAAAAGTAATGAAAAGTTGATTAAAACAAATACCTCTGAAAAATAATTGAACAATGAATCTGTTCATTGTTCACGTATATACAATCTTATATATTTGAATTTGATTATAAAGGTTAAACTAGACATACTTCCGATTACAAAAAAAGAGAACATACGTTTTATTATACACTAATTCATCTTAGTTTTATGCATAGATTATTCCAAACAAAAAAGGAAACAATAACCATTGGGAACTATGTTAATATTACTACAATTTTGTAGAAGTGGAAGTAAATAAGTAGTATATATATATATGATATTTCACAGATTGAAATCATGAGTCAATTGAAGCTAGACCACCATGGAAAACCTGGAAGCACTGGACGGCCGTTTCGTCTTAGTATGGGGCTCCTCAGCAGTGTGCATCCGCGGCACCGCACCCCACGGGATTCGAACCCAGGACCTACTGGTTTCGCGCGCGAGCATTTAACCATTAGACCACTGAGCTGGCCGGCATCCAATGGTGTTAATGTCTAACTTCAACCATTCCACGAAGTTGCGCCACCGTACACCATTGTCTTCATTGAGTTAATATCTCACAACAGACCTGGTTGAACTCCATTGGTAACGGCTTCTTACTAGAACTCCAGGAGTATCCCTTGAAGTCAGTCACTAGTGAGCAAATGAATATTATCAGATGGGGTTTTCCGTGGTTTTCCATGGTGGTCTAGCTACAACTGACTCATGATTTCAATCTGTAAAACTTCTAAAATCTCCACAAACTCCTTCTGATATATGATATTGACAAAAATGTTGTATTCATTGTTTAATTTTTAATTTTCCATCTCTTGAAAGATAATCTGACAAGTGATTTATTAAAATTAAAAACGACATTTTCGATGTGACGTAAAATGTTAGTTACTGGACGAACAACTCAAACATTTAAAAATTATACAATAAATTGCTACCTAGTATATGTACAAGATGTCCATGACTCAGTTTACAAAAGTGAATCCATACATGAGTAAGAAGTAAGGTAGTGAATGACCAATGTATGTATAGGAATAATAAAATAACATTTATCAGGATTCATCAGCAAACAATTGAGATAACTATGTAGGGACACAAATAATAACATTTTATCAA